GTCTTTGAGAAGCACAGATATACCAGGACATCAAATCAGATAATAAGGATATTAAAGGCTTTCTTAGAAGCCCTCCAGTTAAGAATCTCTTTTAACTTTGTTTAATCCATTCATTTCCCAAACTAATTAACCCACAGTTCCTTTCCCCACATTATTAACATTCCACAAAACTAGTCTTCCTGAAACTCACCTCAGAAAATTCTGATTGAAGCTCAAGGTCTCACCAACACAAGGTCAGCCTGTGGCCATGTGTCACCAGTATCACACCTGTCCACGGAGATGTGCATCCTGAAGGAATTCTAGGCTTTGCCCACCCATCCTGTCCCAAATGCCAGCTCTCAAAGAGATGTTCAGAAATTTCACAAGAAGGAAAACTCCAGAAACTGTAGTTGACTTATTCCTAAAAGAAACCTCCAACCTTACATTCTCAGAATGCCCTTGGAGAGGAGACCATGTTAAAAACTAGGATCTGCCGACCAGTTTCCAAAAACTCAACATGGTAGCCTCTAAGGCACACAGTTCCCATGATGAACCACCAGGCTCAAAGGCCACTTCTCCTCTTGCCTATCTAAAATACTGGCAGCAAAACCTAACTGTCATCTGCACTCTCTTGGAATGAAGTTACAGGATTTTCATTTTATGGTGAAGAGGGGGAGGGAGATATTTTTAGCAAAATAATTGAAAAGGTGAAGGGCAGATATGGTCTGCTCAATGATTGTAGGTCTGGTGTTCTATCTTCCTGGAACAATGTCTAGACTTTCTGAGGAGTCACCTCTGTAAGTAGCATGGTCAGTTAATTAAGAAATATAACATGTCCTACCTCTGGGCTATACTCCAGATTAAATCAGGTTGGACTTTTGAGTCATACCTTCAAATCCTACATTAGTAATCCATATTTAAAGAAAGCACTTGGTTTTTAAATCTTTCTTCATCTTTTTACACATGTATGACCTCCTAGTAAACCCAGTGGACATTCTTTTTAAGAAACACAGCTGAGTAGTCCTTCAGTTACAGTTTAGGGAGAAGATAATTTTTCACCCATCATATACGAACAGGCCTCAAAGGCTTAGATGTCTGTCAGTTCCAGCCAGACACCAGCTGTACCACAACACAGGCAGTAAAGAGGTGTTCACACTCTACTGTGCTAGCAGACTATTTCTAGAGTGGGTGTTCGCTGTCAAGGAGTCAATCCTCACAGAAAACACACACTGTACAGAGCATCTGTATGTCCCTGAATGTACAGGGAACGGTACAGAAATGCATTCTGTGCAGTGGGTGAGGAGGGAAAGACTGAAAGATGCAGAATATTCCAATGCAGGCTATTTTTTGCACTGATTCAGTTTTTGTTTTTCACCCAGAAAATGTAGGTCCTACCCAGCAATGATGCCCTCAGTGGAGAAGCTGCACGGGGTGGGGGTGGGGAGCGTTGCTCAGCACTGGTAAAATGGCACAGTCACTTCATGTTCAAGGACTGGAAGAGATTAGCTGCTTATGATGACATCAACAGAGAGAGAAGATTACAAACATAGGTAGAGGGATGATTGCTTCAGGAAGGCCTTTCAAAGGCCTGACAACTTCTCTTGAAGGATGGCCCTGGCACTAACTACTTTCTGAAGGTATGTCTGTCAATTCGCGTGTGGAGAAACCAGTTCAAAGAAAACAGAACACTTAAGCATAATCTTTCAGAGGGCAAGGGATCATGGCATAATGATGATAAAATGCTACTTCTGGGTGTGATGAGAACACAGCTGTTTGATGGCAAGAAGATGACTTCGGCTAAGCCGGAAGCTGGGAGTCACTTTTCCCAGTGCACAACAGAAGACCCAAAGTGCTCCTGTCATTCAGGAATTTGCCTGATTTGCAGATTCTGTGGCTACCTCAAAACTAGCCAACAGTGAATGCTGGGCTTCAACATTAACACAGTGACACTAGGATTTCAGGCAAGAAAAATCAAAGAACTAGGACATGTTAGAAAGAGAGCCGGGGGTTACATTGGCTCAGCAATGTAAGTGCCAGCTTGGCAAAAGCAAAGTCATGAGTTCAATCCCTGGTACCAAAGAAAAAAGAAAAAAAAAAAAAAAAAGAAAGAAAGAAAAACCTGAAAGAAAAAGGCCCCTCCCTATAAGACAGGAGGAAGGGGCTGGGGATTTAGCTCAGTGGCATAAGCGCCTGCCTTGCAAGTGTGTGGTCGTGAGTTCAATCCCTGGTACTGAGAAAAATGAAAAAGACAAAAAAAAGTAAAAAATAAAAGACAGGAGGAAAACTAAATCAAACACAGCAGTACCTCATTTTACAAACTTCATCCTTTTCAAGATTCTAGTCACAAACTGAATTGGACTAGAACTGAATCAAATTTCCACTTAAGGTCAACACTTAACCTAACCACTGAATTTGACTCAGGTCCTGTCCAGTTCAGCTTGGGACCACAAGTGTGGAAAGGATTAAGTTTGTGAACCAAGGTACCGCTGTAACTTTCTCAAGGAAAAGGGGCTGGGTGTGGTGGCACACACCTATAATTACAGCACGGCAGGTAGCTGAGGCAGAGGGCTGTAAACTCAAGTCCAGGCAGGGCAACTCAGGTACTTAGCCAGTGCAAAGGCTAGGTTCAATCCTCAGTATCTCAAGTAAAAAAGAAAAAAAGAAGAAAAATAAAGGAGGCGTGGATGAGGAATGAAATAGAAATAGAAAACAAAACAATAAAATGGGAGAAACTGAACTCACAAGAAAGCAAGAAAGGGATGTGTCCAAGGGGCATAAAGCACCTTACTACTTATAACTCATTTGGTCTGTTCATCTCAACAGCATGGCATGATTGCCAAAAAACAAAGTATTAAAATTTTACAGGAGAAAAACAAGATGGTATGAGTCACTTACTATCATTCATACCCACCTGTTCAACACAGCAAAGAAAGTCACACTGGAGAACAGGGGAAGGAAAGGCCCATTCTGTGTGTGTGTGTGTGTGTGTGTGTGTGTGTGTGTGTGTGTGTGTACAGTGTGGGGCCTCAAACCCAGGGCCTTGAGCATGCTGAGCAAGTGCTCTACCACTAGCTATGTTCCCAGGCCTCAAAATATTTTTTTAAAAACAAATCATGCAGAAAGAAATTTGATAATTAGAATGTAAGAAACAAGAACAAAAACAAAACAAACAAACAAACAGAAAACCATGTATGCAAATCCCACATGCACAGCACATCAGAGACACGGAAGAGTTGGCAGCAGGGTGAATGGAAAGGCACCTAATTTAAAGCTCAGCACATCACCAGCTGTTTGATGGCAATCAGATAAATTTGGCTAAGACAAAGGTTGCACCCTGCTTTGAAACTAGGGATCACACTCCCTGAAATTTTAAGGATCATTGTTTAAAACTATGGTGGTTTTGATTTGGGAGATCAAAAATTCTAGCACAAGCTAACAAAGAACAAGCAACGAAAAATTTCCCAAGCTGTGAAACCTTGCTACTTAAGATAATGACAGAAATTTATGACTGCTTCCTTTCCCGGCAGAAAGGAGCACAATTAGAAGGTTGAAAACAGCAGGCCCTTTGTACTGGCATGTTATGTTTTGCTTATTCTATTACGCATTGGCTGGGAGATAAGAATAAACAGGACAACACCCTGTCTAACCCCAGGAGGAGGGGCGGAGGGGAAAGCTGGTTACGTTCATTCGTGGGCAAGTACATGCACACTGTTTATTTTCAAATTGAGGTACTTAAGAAAATTGTGCGTGTAACAGTCAGGAACTAGTCTAATCACTCAGAAGTCTTTTCATTGCACAATCCAGTCTCTAACAAACAAGCTATATGCAGTAGGAAGCTCTACCATGAAGTGTATTGAAGATATTTTAAGTAATTGGTAATTATTTCTCTAAACTTTTGCTCAGTCTGTGAAAGAACTTAAAAATGAGGAAGAACAAATGTATAAATACAGCTTCTCTCCGTCTGACCTACTGTGTCAAAACATGTTCACAAGGAATCAACTAAGTGATTTGAGACTTCTTTCTTCCTGAAAAAGGATAGCTGACAGCATGAGAGCCAGGTGCTCTGATAGTTCCAGAATTCTGCCACAGACAACAGCAGCGAGGCCAATCAGGTTCTAACAAGCTGATCATGAGACAGGGCAGCACCCACAGTCCCAAGAAAACCAAGACAGACTTGGACCTCCCCGCTGGCTGTCTTCCCACAACGCCTGGCTGCCTGAAATGATCCACCTCAACTGTGCCATTTCTTAGCACCTCTGTTCCTCCTCCCCTGGGGATAAGGGTGGCTCAGCTGACCCAAGCCTGCTCTGAGGATGCTACCTGTTACAGTCTGTCACTTACTTGGTTTCATTTTCTCCCAGCCCATATCTCAATTACTTGTGCTGGTATCTCCTGCTTCCTCCCCTGACCAGAATCCCCATGCCAGTGGGCACGGAGACCTCATTAACCTTGTTTACACTTGTGGGCTCAGCATCCAGGTACTGCTTGGCAGAAAGTATGATATTGGTAGAAATACGTTGCGAGACTGAATCAACGAATACTGCAAAGCCAACAGGGATCGAATGAATAAAGAATTGCATGGAACAGGGGAGAGGAGGTCAAAGCAGAATTCAGTCATCTATCCACAGCCAGCCTGCTCCTCCCCGCCCCCAATTTTCCCAGTAGGACCAGGCATGAAGCTATGTGTGAAGGCTGAGCAAGAAAGCGGAGCTTTAAGGCTTTCCTTTCATGCATCAAAAAGAAAAGTTGCCACTCTGAAATAAAGTGCAGAGGCTCTCGAAATCTAAAAAGGGAAGGAAAGGGGTATGTTTGGGTGTCAGCAAAGTAGTTCTGCCTCGTGACATGGAACTGTAAGCCACTGAAAGACAAATGGTGGCGCAAACCGCTCATTATAAACACGTAGAGGTAAGGCTGAGATGTTAATTTTAAGCACCTGTCATAGAGCTGCTTTCAGGATATTACCCCATGAACATTGCTGCTATTATAACAAGAGTCTAAGTGTGACGATGTTCTTCTTTTAGGTACGATTATTTTTCAATAGGCGGAAATTAGAATCGCCATTCAATATCTACCTGAGACACCCAGGATGTGAGCGAGCACAATGGAAGTGGCAGAATATTAATGATACCAAAAGGAAGAGAGCTGTCTCTACATGGAACAGTTAAAATATACAGGAGCCAGGCGTGGCAGTGCACACCTATAATCCCAGCACTCGGGAGGCTGAGGCAGGAGGATCCCCATGAGTTCAAGGCCAGTTTGGGCTACAAAGTGAGTCAAGGTCAGCCTGAACTGCACAGTGAAATTCTGCCTCAAAAAAAACCAAAAATGAATAAATAAAGTAAAATGTGTATGTCTTCCCATAGGCCTCTTGGTGCTTGAGCCAAGAAATGTTCACTCTATGGCTTCTGAAATAGCAGATTCGGTCCTTATGGAAGGCAAGAGTAAAATGAAACAAAAACAGAAAGCCTGCAGACCATAAATGGGAAAAACATGGGATGGAATAGCCAGAGACGTATCTGAAAGGCAAACCAGTGGTTTTTCTCAGAAGCAGAATAGAATGAAAGCACCACCTCCCCGGGAAGTATGATTCAGAACAAGTTGGAGTTGGGACAAAGACAGGGCCAGGAAGTCACGGCTCTTGTTAGATAAAAAAAAGATAAAAATCATGAAGTGTGGCTTATTACTATGATAATTGATACTCTGCTTATTACTATGTCTAAAAGCATTCCAAATTTTAAAACAATGTGTATTATTTACCTTTTTATAAATTAACTGGGCATTATCATAAATTCCAGCTATATAAATGGGGTTCCCTTCCCCCATTTCACTGAAATACCAGATTAGGCTCAAAAATAGAATCAGAAGAATTTTAAGCTTACTCATATAAACTCTGATATGTAATATTTTAAATGAATTTTGGACATTATTTAAGAATTATGAGTATTACCCAGAATTTTTTTTAATTAAACACAAAAGGATGTACTTGTTTTAGTTCATGTAGGAATGCTGAATGTAATTTGCCAAAAAAGAACACTAAAATGATATTTATTATAGACCTAATCACCACAGAGTCCGGTGATTAGGAATTAAAGATCCTACATACATGTTTACAAAACACAGACTTGGGAAAACCCCCGGTAATTTACCAAGCCATCTGTGATCTCCCAGCACATTACAACAGGACGATGGCAAGTCTCAGTGCGGAAGTCTCTGTGGAAGCCTCCTCCTAGTCTTGGGATTGTCTCCTTTCCTGTTCACAGAGTACAGAGTTGACCTACTATCATTTTTGTTCCAATTTCTTGACAGAACCTCAAGCAAAGCCTTGACCATAAATAAAGCAGTAGGGTCTCAGCAGCTAGCTGAGTCACAAACTCCACTCAGATGTATGTGACTCAAGGTGTTGGGATCCCGAGAGAGTCAAGCCAAGCAACTGGAATCAATTTAAGTCAGAGTTTGGAAAATCAGTTGCCACTCCACTTCCCTACCCCAGCTGACGGTGGAATATACCACAATCCCTCTTCCACAGCTCAAATACAGCGATGGCAACAAAGCTCAGGAAAACATGGGACCAGAGCAGACTACTTCCAAGTCTAAAAAGGGAGGGGGAAAAAAAAGATATCTGACAACAAACCACAAATTTTTAAATGTGCATTTCCCCTGTTTTTAAGCATAAAAGCAGTCTTGTTGCTGCAAAGTCATCACCATGCCATTTTCTGACATTTGTGCCCAGTACTATTTGGCCCTCAGGTACTTAGGCTTATTACTTTAAAAATACAGAGTTAAGCATGTTTAAATCACTTTAAATATCTCAAAAAGCAGCAAACACCCAGCCGACCTGCTTGGGCATGCAAACTTGAAAAGAGAAGCTTTATAGAATGGCCTGCAGGTCAACAAATTCTGGTCTTGGCAGACTAATGTCAGGAAAGAGCTATAGAAAATAAGGTTCCACAGATGAAAAATTTTGGTTCCCGGAGGCCAGTACTTGGAACTGCTGGCAAACATGCTCTGCAAAACTACAGCCCTCGTAAAGTGCTAAAAACTCCCAAATACGGTCCCTTAAAACTGTATACAAATACAAAACATTTAATGAACAACCCTTGCTTCACCAATAACTCTGCTTAAATTAAGTGCAGGAGACTCTTCAAAGGGACCAGAGAAGCCCCCTTGTTAGGACAAATTCTATACATAGACATGCAAGACAATTATACGATGCATGTAACCAAATATATACAATTATTCTAGTTTCTACATTCCCATTATCTTTATAAATATAGGACAAAAATCAGTCTAAATGACTTTCTCAGGCCTCCTCAAGGATTACGCTGAGCCAGCCAGCCTTTAAAAAGTACATGTATGTTGTAAAGATCAAAAGCAAATGTTCTGGTCAGTTCTTTTCTACTCATGGGTTTTACTAAGAATGTGTGCAGTTTTCAGAGAAAATACCACAAATGACAGCTGTTCAAAAGCATGGAAATTAATTGGCAGCAGGAATTTCCTTGACTAATGGGGAAAAACTTAATGTCACATGTTGTGATGAGCTTATTTTTCCCATCCTTAGTCAAGCACATTCAGCATTAATGATTAAGATTTGCAAAAAGAAACATAACCAAGGAAAATCTTGAGTATATTATCCTTTCTCAGTAGAACACAGCTACCCATTACTGAATGAACAATGTGTTAATGAAGGGATTTGCGTACTAGGCAATAAATGGAAGGAAAGTTCCACTTGCATGTCTTGATTTTCTGTAGGAAGTAAACCAAGACATGATAAGAATAATGTACTTTATTGTGTTAAAAAAAAAATCAGTAGTAAGACAAGTACCTCCCCTCATTCCTACCCCACGGGAAGCCATCTGCTTTGAGCTGTTTTTCCCGCAGCGAGGATGGATTTATATTGATCCATCCCCAGTCTCTCTGGCACAGAGGCTTTCCAGTCGTTGCCTTGTGACCAACGGTGAGAATGCATGAGACAGCTGGTCAGGATTAAGCAGGCAGCCCGTGGGCCTGGGCCCAGGTCGTGTGACTGTGCCCAAAGCCTGAGGCTGTGACCTTGGCTGCGGTGTTACCCTCTCATGGCCCCCGCTCACAGCCCCTGATCAGCCAGGACCCAACACACTCCACTGTGAGGGCACAGTGTGTTCTGGGTCCCAGCAACACAGGGGCTTCTCATTCCCTGGAAGTCGCACAGGCACACGCATGGTGGAAGCTGCTGGAAGATGGCAGCAAAAAGATACATAAGAGTGAGCAGGGCGGCACTTCCTTCCATCCTCAAGTGCCAGCTCCGAGGCATAGCCCAGGAAAACAACAGGAGGTCCCCAAATTGGCAAAGCACGCACTCAAGGTGCACAACAGAACCGCGTACCTGGCCATCCCCAGACTCGAAAAGTTAGCAGGGACCACGAGTACGTCCAGGCGGGAGAAGGGGTGGGTGCCTAGGACCGCGTGTGCGGCGAGGAGGCAGGCAGGCAGCAGCCGCACCAGGGTCTCCTGGCAGACTCCCTCCAGGCAGCCGGGGGCGAAGACGCGGTGCGGGATGGTCTCCTGGGTGGTGGCCACGGCGTCCTGGAAGCGGCAGGGGTACTCGGTGTGACCGCAGCCACCGACACACCTGGGAACCACACGAGAGAAACATGCATGCTCAGGGGCCCGTTTCCTCTCTGGCCCAGGAGGTGAGGAATTCTAGAGGCGGGCAATTTTTAGGCGACTGTGGTTCAGACAGGCTCATAAACAAAAGCAGCCCATCCAAATTCTTGGCTTGTCTGTGTCTGGACAGCAGGGAAATTTTACAGGTCAGAATACTTAGCAATGTGCTTGAATTGACTGAACAGCTTCCACCCAATCTACATAAAAGCGGCGAAATCTTGTTTTATTTATTCTTTTCATTAGTTAACATATTACATAGTTATCTTAGAAGTAGTTGTTCAAGTTACAAAATCTAAGCTTATAAATGAAGAGAATCAAAAATGACAGCACAAACTTTTTTTTTTTTTTTTTTTTTACGAACTATTTTTTTGATGAACTATCAGAGAATTGGCAGTGTGGCTACCCATCTGGCACACGGTTATATGTGTACATCTGACAAGTTGTTCTCTCCTTCTGAGCACAATATCTATTGTACATTTTGGATCTTCCCAGTTTCAGTTTATTTTTATTATTATTAATTTTTTACACTAGGGAGACAACACAATATTTACAAATATGATTCTTATTTATTTCACTTATGAGGATAGTCTCCAGCTGCCTCCATTTACCTATAAAAGCCTTAATAGCACCCTTTTTATAGCTGAGTAATATTCCATTGTAGAAAAATACCACATCTTTTTTGTCCATTCTGTGGTTGATGGGCATTTTGATTGTTTCCAAGATTTAGCTATTACAATTGTGCTGCTATAAACATGAGCGTATATATATATATTGTTGTGACATGATCTTTTCTTTTTTTTTTTTTTTTTTTTTTGTCTTTTTCGTTTTTATCGGTACCAGGGATCGAACTCACGACTGCCTGCTTGCAAAGCAGGCGCTTATGCCGCTGAGCTAAATCCCCAGCCCCGATCTTTTCAATTTTTCTGGGAAAATACCCAGGAGGGGATAGCTGGACTGAATGGTACTTCCAACCCTAGTTTTTAAAGGAATCTCCATACTGATTTCCACAGTGGCCACACTCCCACCAATAGTGAAAAAGGGCTCCTTTTTCCCCACAGCCCCTCCAGCATTTGTTATTGGCTGATTGATGGCAGCCATTCTTTCTGGAATAAGATGGAATCTTAATGCTGTTTTAATTTGCATTTCTCGAATGACCAGTGATGGTGAACATTTCTTCATGTATTTATTTGCCATTTGTATTTCTTCATCTAAGAACTGTGTGTTCATCTCAGATGCCCATTTTTGGAGTGGGTCTTTGAATTTGAGGGGTTTGATGTTTTTCAGTTCTTTATATGTTCTGCATAGAAGTCCTTTGAAATCTTGTTTTAGAATAAACTAGATGGAGGGAAAATTCAAGATCCAAAACAAGAAAATTTCTCACCCCAATAAAAACAATTTCTTCCCTCAGCACTGGGCTTTCAAATACCATCATAGGAAAAAGTTTTCCTATCAGGGATGATTCAGAACTCAGGAAGGGAAGGACAAGGTAGCCAGATTTAAGGTCCAATAACGCATTTCCTAGAATGAAAGAGGAGGCAGAGCGCGGAATCAAACAGCAGGCCCAGGCACAGCTTCTCCAAAGAACACAAGCCATCTTACTGAGGAGTGACCTAGATGTTCTTTACAAGCCTATCACAAGTTGTAGAAGAACACAGAATGCCATCTAACACTGAAAGAAGTGTGTTTGATGCAGTGTTTTCTCCCATCACTTTCAATTTAAGCTTAATTAGTTAACCTTTTAAGGAAACAGATCCCAGTCCAGCCAGCACCATCTCACCACTGCAGTTATTCAGTCAAAGGTGGAGCTGAAAGAGAATTACTAGACCCTGACTCACAGGGCTCCAGAGAACTTATTTACCTCCGACCCCTGCCAAAAACTGATAGTAAAGTGAGCTGTATTTTCTTACCTGTTAACATGTTCCTAGCCAGGTGTGGTATCACACACCTGTAATCCCAGCACTCAGGAAGCTGAGGCAGGAAGATTATGGGGAGCTCAAGGCCAGCTTGGGCTACACAGTGAGATCAAAGTCACCCAGAATTATTTAGCAAGAACCTGTCTTAAATAAAAGAAGGAATCAAGGAAAGAAGGGACAAGCAAGATTTCACAGCATGCTAAGTAACAGCAGTACTGAAGTTGTACTTAAGTTTAAATTCTATGAACCATACAACAACACTGCAGAGAGGCATTCCATATAAAAACACACAAGCACAAGTCTGTTTCCATGGGGGAAGATCATTTCTTACAGCTGAGAATACCAAAATAAAGGTGGCCAAATGACACCCTCCAAAAAAATCCCAGCTGGTCAAAGGAAAAGGTAATTTAGATTGCTCTCTGGACATGTGTGGCACTAGCCTGCATCAAGAAGACGATTCCAGTTGTATGAATTAGCACCCTTTTTTATGGAAGCGCCTAGGAGAAAATGAAGGACTTTTAAAGCAATCAAGCCACAGGCGAGTCAGAGCAATCAAGCTATAAACATAAATGTAAATATGAGAAAAGCTATCTGTGGGCTCCTATGTGGTGACCAGAAAACCTGGGCTTCAGTGGCTGTTCTCAGACCTGCAGTGACCTGAGACGAGCACCTTGATATCTGTATTCTCTTCTTCTCCATCTCTGCCATGGACTCAGCATGAAGGCTGGCAGAGGAGGAAAGGAACCAAATAGAAAGGAATGAGAGGGCATTTCCCAGGGGTCTGTCTGCTTTAGGGCATACACAATGGTCAGAAACTCATCTAGCCAAATGCTGAAGACCCACACATTGTGTAGGACATTAACTGTACCTTAATTAAAAATAAAGAAGGAACCAAAAATGGTTTCTAAGGTTTCTTCTTGCACTATGATTCTACAACTCCCCACCTCTGTCCCTCTTCACGTAACAGCCTATCTCTGAAGAGGAATGAAGCCACCAGTAGTCTTCCACAGATCTAGGATCAACCTTAAAGATGCTTTCCCTTCCTTTCAGGGCAACTTTTTATAGTCTTTATAGCTCTAAAGAAGACCTGTTTTAGAATAAATCACCTCAGTGCTTCTGCTTCATGCTGTTCATCTTCCACACTTTTAATCATTTTTGCTCGAGTTACCTGCTTTTTTTATTTTTTGGTACTGGGAATCGAACTCATGACCTTGCATTGGCCAAGCAAGCACTGTGCTACTGTTCTAAGTCTCGGGCTTTTCTCTGGATTTTACCCACGTTTCCGTGCTGTGCATGAGATGAACAGCCTCAACAAAGCCCTTGGGAAGTTAAATATAATACAAGATTTCCTTGTGGCTGAAACCAAAAGAAATTAATAAACTTTTTATGGTTTATCTGAGCACCTCATAGCAGGTGGATTTAGTGAAGTGCCCACCCAGAGAGGGCTGGCGCCCCCACGAGCCTGGAGCGGGCCAAGGAAACACACTTTCTGGAACCGGGATGAACACTTTGAGGCACACAAAAGCCTGTCAAACACAAAGGCCCTGTAAAAGTTAGATTTCCATGAATTGAACTGGTGGTCTCCAGAAGGTCTGCAGTAGCAGGAGGCTTGGGGAAAGCAAGAGGGAGCAGATGTGAATACAGCCAGAAGCACCCCTGCGACAGGCACGTCAGAGCACCTCCAGAGCACAGAGCACCTCTGTGCAGGAGAACCTAGCACAGAGTCAGAGTTTCATGGTAAAAACATAACGCCCTCTCCTGAAAGCGACCCAGCACACATGAAGCACGACACCGGATTAAGCCGATGTCAGCTACTGTTTTTTCAGTGCATTTCTGATGGACACATCCACTGCACACTGAAGTGTCCACTCGGCCCAGCTTTTTCAGTTAGACACACTGTATGTCCATCTCCTTCTGCCTGTTTCTCCAGTAGTTCTGAACACAGAAGGACAAGAGAGAAATAGCAATGCCTTCTCTGAAATCCCAACAGGAATTTCAGGCCTCTCTTCCCACAACCCCCATTGGATTTGGCCATGTCCTCACTTCTTTTGGAATAATGGATGCAGGACCAGTGAGAGGCCATCAGCTCTTTCCGGGCAGGAAGAAAAAGCACACAGAAAGTTGTCACTGCCCATTCCTTTACCCCTTATCTCCTAGGAACATGGCTAGAAGGGCAAAGTGACACATTTCTTTGTTTTCTCCCACACATTTTTCAAGCTCGTTTCCTTAACAGCCAATGAACCTGAGTCTTTAGGTGAAGTACAGAGTACTCCTTTACCACGGAGAATCTGAGAACCCATGAACACAGTCCTTATCTGATAGAAGGGGAAACTCTGCTTTGCACCTTCAGGCCCAAAGGCTGCTTCTGCTCTAAGGTAACACCTGCCATCCCTATCAGTAACTCCACGGAGGCGGTGAACTCCCCGGGTAGAAAGTTTGCTTAGAATCCAGGTAGATGCTATGTATAGTTTTTAAAAACTATACATCGTTTAGTTTTTAAACTAAATGTAACATTCTGTCTTAGCTACATTCTGTCTTAGCTACTGGAAAACTAAACGTAACATTCTGTCTTAGCTACTTTCTCTCCTTACTGAGACAAAACACCCGACTCCCAAAGGTAACAGAGGAAAGGTTTATGTAGCTCACAGTTATGGAGCCAGCAGATAAATACTCAAAACCATAGCTGAAAGATGTAGGAGGAAGAAGAGTGTTGAAGCTTAGGATTCTTTTAAACAACACATGAAAATATTCCACCTGACTTCACAGGGGATTTCATATACACTTGCTTTCTTCTTTTCTGCATAAACAACATGCCCACATTTCTGCCTCTCAACACTCTTTTTCTTCCTGGTCTGCCTTTTCCTGCTCTGATGAATCCTATTTTGGTTTGGTTTCTCAGCAGAGATGACTCACAATTCCAGGGCTTGGAAGACAGGCATCACACAGCCGCTCCCTCAAGGGCTTGTTTTCCAGCGAGCTCCCAGACACGTACCTGCAATCGGTCTCGGGGGGTGGGAAGGGTCTCTCCATGGCCGGGTCACCGGAGGAGCACGCCTCAGGCTTTACTTCTGTCCAGCATCCCACCGCAATGGCAAAGGTGGAGGCTGGCATCGGCATGGTCACATAATAATGCCAGCTTGAGCACCCTAAACAGAGAACAACCAGAATGAGGCCAGGGCATGGCTCTGAACCTAACTCTGCTTCCTTCCTTGGGCACGGGAAACCTTGTGAAATAAACTTGTATGAGGCCATTCTCGAAGGTGGCTCATGTCAAAGGAAGGGGCACAGTTCTGGGTGACAGGGAAGGTAGGGAAGGGATGATGGCTGCCGGGCAGCTAAGGAGGTTTGGTGTCTTGCAGTGATCAGTCTGAAGACCTCAAGCAGAGCTAGATGTAAAGGATGGTAGCAGGCAGGCTGTGCACTCCCACAGAGACGAGAACACGTCTTACTCACCTTACTGCCTGCCATATTATTTCACCTAAAAAAAGAAGCACAACTGGTATTTGCTGAATGAATGAGGAAACGATCACTCTTGCTGCAACTAAACTACTTTGCTTAAGCTCAGTGCAAGTCCGTCTGAAGTGGACACAGTAGAAAACAGGAAACTAGGGGAAGAAAACAGTTGGGCTTTAGTTCCAACTCTGAAAGTCATTAATTGTGGAGCTTCAGGTTCTATCTTTCATCTTTTTTTATGATATACATTTTTTATTGGTATATGTCTATATGAAATTTAATCTGTTTGGGGGTTTGGTACATATATGTAATGTATCTTGATCATTTTCCATCTCCTGCTGCTCTGCCATCCGCTTTCCCCTGGTTCCATTCATGCCTATCCCAAAAAGTTTGCCTTTATCTTCACTCTTTAATTTTTTTTTTTTATAACCAGACATCCTTTTAATCTGTCTAGCTGGGCTTCTGTGCCCTAGTGCACTGATGAAAAACAACAGTAGAGAATTCAGTGGGCTTGAGGACTCCAGTTAGTGTGTAATAGGGCTGTGACCACAGCAGGGACTCCCCACTCCAGGTGAAAGAACACCCTTCCCTTAGCCCAAACCTCAAAGGAACGAAGGATCAATAACTTACAATACCACATTCCCCTCACTGCTGAGATGGGACAATCATTTTCATGCTCCTGAAATTTAAATGTATCACATAACCTTATTAACAGTATTTTTAAAGATCTGCTGTGAACTGATGTCTTTTTTCCGATACAGGGTCTCACTATGCAGCTAAGGCTGGCCTTAACTCATTTTGTAGCCCAGGCTGCCCTTGAACTCACAGCAATCACCCTGTCTCAGGCTTCTGACTGCTGGGATGACAATGAGCCTTAAGATTAATATGACTTTATAATATGAGTCACATTTCTCCATTCCTAATGTCCAATGATGGGAATTTGATTACAGTAACACATTGCTTTCAGCCTGCGTATAGGAACTATTACTCGCTTATTGTACGTTTTAGAGGGTTAAACATCTGGGAGCAACCCCAGATTGCTCAAATTGATGACATGTCAAAGTCAGATCCACACTGGCCACTAAACATGACATTTTTAAAGTGTTTTTACTACAAAAAACTCAATAGGAAAAGTTGAATTTTGAGAGGAGGAGGAGACACAGGGTTTCCCAATGCATTCTGGCTGGCTTGAACTCACTTTGTAGTCCAGGTTAGCCTTGAACTCACAGGAATCCTCCTACCTCAGCCTCCCAAGTACTGGGATTATAAAGTGTGTGCTACAGTGCCTGGCCTAGAAAAACTGAATTTTGATCTCTACATTCCTGGGTCCTTTATCAACTAACTCTGAACCCAGGAAAGGTTATCATTTATTTTCCTCCAACTCTAGCAACATTTCCTCCAATGTACATTCAAGGAAATATAATATGGAATTCCTCTAATGAAAAATAAAAATTTAAAACAGGAAACAAAGACTTAAGAAACAAGCATGGTTTCTGGTAAAATTCAAGCAAGTGTGCTGGCCGATGTGACTGAAGCAGACAAGGGGGCAACCTCAGAAGGGCTGGTGGCCTAGCAGGGGCGGCCCCTCTGGGAAACGGAAACGGAAATCAGTCTGGGAGCTGCATCCGCTTCCGCAACCCGGAGGCCATTTTTTTCCAGTTCTGGGATTCAACTCCGGGCTTCCGTACTGAGCTGCATCCTGGACCCTGTTCTGTTTTGAGCCAGCATCTCACTGAGTTCCCAGGGTAAGCTCAAACTTGTGATACTTGTGCCACAGCCTGCCCGGGTGCTGAGATTACAGACGTGAACTTGGCTAGGGTGGCCACTCCCGAGGGCTCTCGCTTTGCAGCTGAATGAGGAGTTGAAGTCATCTCATTTTTAAAGAGGCAGGCAAGTCTGGAGACGTTGCAGACAAGCCAGGATTGCCAAGTAAGACCATATCCTTATAGAGAATCACTGCCTTATCCTTAGCCACTTAGAAGGGGGAAGGGATGGGCACATCTTAACCAAAGCATGACCCAGATCTTACATGATAACCACTCCTACCTCCTTCATTTTTCTACTTTTCCATTAACCACCTCTTGGTCCAGTAAAATTCATATCCTCGGGGGTCCAGTAAATAACTAGCAATGGTGAGACTTGCGGGTGACAATGGAGGCTTCAATGCAGAAGGCTACCTTTGCTTCTTCCAAAACCCCGTTAGAGGACAGTAAAATGAATTCTTTTTAAAGGCATAAATCAATACAAACAGGAATAATAAAACTGGAGACAGTAGCTACAAAAGTAAGAAAAAGTGCAACGATAAAGGTAAGACCTGCTTCATTTTACCCTCTAGATGCCCAAAAGACTTTAGGGTAAAGGACATGCTAACTGGACTAATGTCTATTAAAGAAGTGGCTAGATCCATCGGTACCCTCCCCCCACCAAGGCGATCTATGCATTCCCCCACAGATCCCACAGATAACTAGAATTTCATCTTCTAGAGAGACCCAAAGAGAAGATCTCTGTACCTCAGGAGTATAAAATGGGGGAGTAGATAGTATATGTGAGAGCAAACAAGGGGACCAGATGAACATATGCATCTCGGATGCTGAGACACCAGTCACCTCCTCTTGGTTCCCAGAATGCTGGTGGCCAAGTCCCACCCCTACCCCACCACCACGAGCCAGCAGGAAGGCCAGAGACAGAAGGAAGCTGACCACCCAAGAACAGATGCCTAGAGATATTAATGTTAGACATTCCCTATGATCAGTGTGAAGGGCCACCTGGGTGACTCAACTTGAACAAAGAGCAATTATGTCCATTTTGGCTAAACCTGGCCCCATCTCCATGTACTGATATATGCAGAGCTGGCTAAGCCATTTCATTTGCCCTTCAACTGGCTCTAAGCAACGTAAACAGGGCTAGCTGAGGTGCTGAGGCATAATGTTTGAAGCCAGGTGACAGCTGCTATTTCCCCACCCTGTGACTCCCAAGATATGGGTGAGCTGGGCAGGATGAAGAGCCACCACTCCAGGGCTGTCAGCTCTAGGGCTGTCAACTAGGTTTGAGCCTCGAGATAAGAGCTATGATTGGCAGGCTACGTGGAGTCCAGGAAGACAAGCCAGATAGCACTTTCTGTGAGCCTACCAGCATGTAGGCTGAGAATCAAGACCTTTCTCCCTCTCCCTGTGGGCAGTTGGCTGGTTCTGAGGACAAGCTGAGTGGACAGCAACTGAATGCTTGTATTGTTTGGTTGACTTTGCAGGCCTGGGCCTGGTGGTCTGCACATCTATTGGGAGGATAACAGTATGCAATCTAGCAAATATGGGGGATTTCCTTCTGTCTTGTTTTTGAAGTCCAATATTATTCTCACTGTTTTGGTTTGTTCTGATTTATTGTTTTGCTTTATTCAATGTTGTTTTGATTGGTTTTATTCTGTTTTGTCTGGTTTGATTTTGCTATGTCTGGTAGAATAGACAATTATTGTGAAGATAACAAGATACAATATGGTAGCCATTGTTGATTTCCTATTTTCCTGCTTCAAAGTTCTGTACCAGCTGGGGATTTAGCTCTGTGGCATAAGCACCTGCCTTGCAAGTGCTCAGTCGTGAGTTTGATCTCTGGTACCAAAAAAAAAAAAAAAAAAAAAAAAAAAAAAAAAAAAAAGTTCTGTACCAATTTCATTGTTTTTTTTTTTTTTTTCTTTTTTTTTTTTTGCTTTATTCTGTTTTATTTTGTTGGGTTTTATTATCTTTAAAATTAAAAAAAAAAAAAAAAAGAGGCTGTGACTTTCCAGGACAGAAAAGTTTGCATATTTGAGCTGAAGTGCTGGCCTCCATATATTAAATACTTCCCTCAATTGTGCTATGCAAATTGGTCTTTCTGGATATTCTTCCCTCTACATATTGCAGAGGTGCTTTCAGGCCTCCTACCTAGCCCAGCTCACAGTACTCATATATTTCCCACCATTCGCAGTCATTTATCCTCAAACCACTCCCTGCTTCACAAATTAATAACATCTAAGCTGAGCCCTGGGTTGAGCCCTTTTGTTTCAAAGAACCTTTATCTTGGCTGGACTAAGGACCCCTTGGCTCCCCATGACTCTGAATATGTCTGCGTATCTTTATTTTCATCATGGGTTGCACTGGAAGTGGTAGTTTGGGATTAACTTGCTAGAATTCCAGTTACTTTTCCATGAGATTGCAAATATAAACTTCCCAGACCGCAACAAAGATAAGAAAGCACTCTCTATAATCAGCTCACAGGGAGTCTCACAGTAGATCAGACCCATGTATGCACTTAGAGCCTTGAGTATGCACTGTCACCCTCTCCTCCAAGAACCTCCAGGCACCAACAGAAAGCTAACAGAAACAAGCAGTTTGAAGGACAGTGATCACTTAGAAGAGAAGTTCAAACAGTGCCAAACATATAGCCACTGAGAATTAGGAGACTTCACTGTGGCCCCAAAACAAACGAGAGTACAGCATTTTAAAAGAGAATTCACTAGTTAAGAAAGTATAAAACATCCAGAAGAAAAACTCAATAAAATGATACAAAACATAAAGGTAAGGAAACCTCTTAGAAATAGAGCTAAATATACATATATAGAGATATAGAGATAGAGATAGATGGATATGAAAAAAAATAGCCCAGGAGGTCTAACATACAAACAATAGAAGCTCTGGAGAAAGATGACAGTGACAAAGAAGGA